TTTGAGAATAAGGGAAATCCTAGGATCAAGAACTAAGTTCTTTAACAAACAGCTGGCTCCACAGAGGACAAAGGACCTGAGTCCCACTCCCACTGTTCAGCAAGCACTCTGTGCCTGGCCCCCACACCCTCTAATGCCCATCATGCCTCCTCCTGCCCTAACTATTTCCCAAGGTAACAGTAACTCCTAAACAGACTCTTCACTTATGCTAAGGGGGCTGGATGCACAAATGGGAAGGAAGGCAGGTAGTCAGGGAGACTTTACAGCACTATCAAAATCCAACACAAATCACCTCATAAAAGATATGACTAAAAGAGCTACTGGGGTAGCTCAAGGCTACAGATACATACTTTATTTCACTGCAATGTAAAAACCAACTAACCTATAAAGTCATGAAACTGAGAGAAAAGAGCTGTCTGGACAATGCAGGACAGGGCTCTTAAAGAGTGGCCAACAATATATATACCTCTGGTCATTAGACAGAAAACAGAATAACTGCCCCTAGCAGGAAAGACCTGACTTCTGTTATGGACTTACAGAACTGAGTTATACCAAGCCACCATGCAGTCGAGGAGGAGGATGGTCAAGGATAAAATGTGAACTGTTACAGATGTGTCTGCAGGCTTTGCAGCTGGAGATGTGAGGTGCTGACATGAGAGGCTAGAGACAAGGGGACGGGAGAGGGGGAGCACTTCCAGCCATCGGCCTCTCGGGCAGCTGCTAGCTTCCAAGCCTCACGCAAAGGATGGGGAGCTAGCAGCACAGCCTGGCTCTCACAGAACCTGAAACTGAACTGGACGCCCTAGAAGCAATAGAGAAAAAAAGAGACATCCCCTAATTACACAAAGATGGTTATTCTAACACCAAAGTGTAAGGCTCCCAATGTGCATGGGCTTAAAATAGCCTTAACACACACAAGAACAAAACTGGACAGGATTAAAAGGACAGTGCCCCCAACTACAATCACAGCAGGGCCTTCCAAATGCAGCAAGACATTGGCCAGGCCACAGATCTGAGCACTATGATTATCAAACCTGACTAAACTACCATAGAAGTGAACTTGGGAAACGCTTGGAAGACTGACCAAAATAAGCACAAAAAGAAAAAAAGAAAAAAAAAAAAAAAAAAAAAAAAAAAAGCTTTTAAAAAAACCAAGGAAAAAAAAAACAGGCTTCTAAATAACCCATGGATTTCCAAATGACCCATAAGAAATTAGGTAATAATGCTAACTGAATTACAAAGCAAATGGTATCAAAAAGTTAACACAATCTGACTAAAGCCACACACATATGGAAACTCCAAGCCTTAAGTACGGTTACTACAAAGCAAGAAAGTGTGAAAAATGTATTGATCTGAATACCTTAATCAGGAAACAACCAAATTCCCAGCATACTGAAACCAGAGCATAAAATGAAACTAACGTTATAAGAGCAGCAGTTGAGCTGTATTCAATCCAATTGAATCAAGAAATTGAGCTTGGTTCTTTACAAATACTAAAACAAGTAGTGAAACCCTATGAGTCCAATGAAGAGAAGGATTAAGCAACATCCAACATCAGGAAGGAAAAGGAGAGGTAACAACAACCCCACAGACATGGACGATGAGATGTGTAGACAACTCTGACAAATGAAAATTCAGGTGGAATAAACTGATACGAGTGTCGATTTAGGGCACCAGTCTTCCCACACATAAACTCAGAGATGGGTTCACCTGGAGATTCTTCCAAACACTTCCAGGACAATAATAGCTTCTGAATGCTTCAAAAGGCTTGACAGAGTGGGCACACTAGGACTCACAGGCCAAATACAATCTAAATCTATGGCCTGATTTTCATTCCATCTGTAAAACAGCAGGTTCTTACATTAATCTGAAGTGGTAGAAAGAAGGGAACTGGGAGTGCACTGAAGACTATGTGGTCAACAGCGCTGTCTGACTCTACCAAAAACCTTCACCAAAAACAGAATTAAGAAAGCACAACTCTCTCACACTTTAAGGGATCAGCATTAGCTTAATATAAAAACTTAAAAGAAATTAGGCTGGGCAGTGGTGGCTCACACCTTTAGTCCTAGCACTTGGGAGGCAAAGGCCTGTGTATCTCTGAGTCAAGGCCAGTGTGGTCTACAGAATGAGTTCCAGGTAAGCCAGAACTACACAGAGAAACCCTGTCAATAAATAAATAAATTTAGGGACTATGTGGATATCATAGCCATAGTTACAGAACTGTGAGCCTACATTAACATTTTAAAAAGCTGTCAGGTATGGTAGCATACACCTTTAATCCCAGCATTCAGGAGGCAGGGGCATGTGGATCTCTGTGAGTTGGAGGCCAACCAGGTCTATAAAGCTAGTTCTAGGACAGCCAGGGTTACATAGAGAAACCCTGTTTCAAACAAACAAATACAAAGTCAATAGAGAAAATTTATCATTAGTCCAATAAAAGGAAAAAATCCATTATTAATTGATACATAAAAAGTCTAATAGATTAAGCCAAACCAGTTAAAGTTTTAACTTTGCAGACCGGGAGTGAGATCTGTGATTCATGTGGTTCAACCTAAGGTCTCAACATGCTCTGATGAAAACGTTCTCAGCACACTGACAGCTCAGAACACCCTTATCCTGACAGACCATTACACAAAACCTGCAGCAAATGCCACCCTGGTGATGACATTCTGGAAGTTTTCCTTCTTGCTGCAGCAAGACACAGAGGCCCACAATACAGTGCTGCTCAGCAGCTGACTGGAGGTCACAGACAGCACAGAAAGACAGTCTAAATCTCAGCACACAGAGCGGCCATCACCCAAACACTGTGTGCTTTTCTGAAAGATCTATAGATAAACTAGTGTAAAAAGCAAGTTATGTGGCATGTCAGGTGACAAGGTGACCCCACAAAAACAAACTGTATTTGTAAACATCATGAACAAAAAAGGCAAATTAGGAAACAAAACAGCAAAAAACAGAGAAATCTAACAAAAAGAAATAAAACCTCAACTATGAGAAATACAAAATAGATATTAAAGACCTAAATAAACAGAAACATATACCACACTCACGGGTTGGAAAATCGGAAATAAAAGTTATTCTATGTGCAAATTAACAAAACTTTAATACAGAGACTGCAGTAGGTAACTGAAATGAACTTTAGACAGTTGAAGAAATCTCACAACCTAGCATAACTAGTTAAGAAACAGTAATTGCCTGAGATGGCTTTGTTGGCATAGGAGAATAGATCAATGGGTCAGAATAGTCTAGAACCAAACTCACTCTCATAGAGACTTGACTTGCACAGTGAAAGAGAAAGCATTAACCCTTCAATAAGGCACTGAAATAACCAAGTATTAAAATTGAAAGTGTCTAAACCCTACTTCACGCCATACTTAACAAAATCCAAACCAAAATACATTTCTACTAAAAATTACCCAGCACATCCTCAGGTCCTCCAGACAGGCACAAATAAATCAAATGAAATAATGTGTTATATTAAAATTAAAAGCATCTGTTAAATAAAAACACTAAAAAGAGAAAAAGGCAACCCATAGGATTGACAGAAAACAGCAGTAGGACTAATCAACAAATAGACACATATCCACCCAATCTAAACAAAAAAGCTGCTACAAATCAGTAAGAAAAACAAAGACAAATTGGTTTCCTGAATCTCCATCCAGGAACTGAAGAGGCAACTTCCCCACCACCCACATACGGCTGGTTTATCCGTATGAAAGTGATCAGCATCTTTAGTTACACAGGAGACTCGATTCAACCAAAGCAGTAAAGATGGGAAGACCATACAGAATACTGAAGACGACATGTGAGACACACAGCACACTCACACAGCACAGGTCAATCTTACACAGATCATCTGCTACATTCAAGCAGAAGAACTCCAAGTGAAAACCATGCAAACATCAGTACCAAATGAACGAATACCTTGGGTTCGTCTGTCCAATGAAACAGTGTATACCCATGCATACATGGAAATGGAGCAGTTGCCATATCCACCTTGGAAACACTATTGAAAGGGGCCAGACAGAAAAGAGCAAATGTTGTATGACTCCATTTTAATAAACTCATGGAAGACAGGAAAAGTGAAGGGTGACACCCAAGTAGGGACACTGTGGTCACTTCTCTGCCTGCAGAGCAGGTCCAGGTGCTCTCCTTCCTGAGCTGCCATCCAAGCCTCACACCAATATGGAGGCTGGCATCCAGCAAGAGAAAGCTCCACATGGGAACACTTAGGTCTCATGTTTTCCAAAAACAAACTCAACTCCCACCAAGGAAGACCTGTCACAAGCAACCTCATATCCACACGAACAAAGCAAGCACTAAATGCTGGCATGCCTACAGTGAGCGAGCACGCACTTGTGAAGAACACCTGCTGATGCACTTCCGTTTTGAAGCTCAGATTCTTAGTGGACCACAGGGCATGGCCAGGGCTGAGGAACCAACACTGACATACAGTTAATGGATGAAATCAAGACTTTCCTTGGATTTCCTACATTTTCCATGGTTTCCTACTCTGGGACCCCATCCAGGAATCCCACCTTTCCCTAGATGCCTCTTGGTTTTTTGTGCCCTCAGCAGATGGGAGGGGCTGGCAGGTTTGTCTGGATATACCTCTTCCAGGATCCATTGGTTAGGGCTGCTGGGAAGATCATGGCTTGAAGGGCCATCTCATCACACAAACAGGAGTCAGGCCCAGAACAAGCCTATGCTCTCAGGTCTAATTGGCTTTACAGAACAGCTGGTTGTCAGGAGTGGCAGCCAGGGAGTGTGACAAGAACAATCTCTAAAGATGTGGCTATCACCATTGGGCTACACCTGAGATTCTGCCATTTCCCTTCAGCTCTGGGAAGGTGGCACCGGAAGCTCACACCAGCACTAACTAAGCCCTCACGGACACTGAGACTCTTATGCACTGACTCACCCAGGGTAGCTCCAATCACAGAAAACTTTAGCAATACTAATAGGGAGGGATCAGGGCTCCAATAAAATACGGTCCAAACCTGGCAAGCAAGGAAATCGAATGCTTCCTCTTCATTCCATATTGCGGTGATTAGCAGCCACGTCAGACAGCCGCTGCTGGGTTTGACATTCTGTGGCTCTTCCTTTCGTCTGAGCCACCAACTTCCTTCCAAAAATGAGGACAAATTAACAGCACATCCACATATCTGACCAGAGCCAACAGCTCCCAAACAAATGGCAGCAGCAGAGACCGGATGCACCCACAGTGGTCCTGGCTGTGTGTGGCAAGGCTTTCCAGGAACAGAGGAGCAGACAAGACAACTAGCTTCCGCTGAGGTCTGCAGGCCAGGCCCCTGTGGAATACATGCAGTGCCGACTGGACCCAGGCCAGACTGGGGACAAGCTACAAATGAGACTAGCAGCACTAGTCTGTTTCTGCGCATTGCTTCACCTTCAGTAGGGACAAAGAAAAAGAACAGGGGAGAGACTCCCAAGGTAGGCAAGGTCACAAACAAATCCAGGAGGCCCTGTCTGGCAATGGTACAATGCAGGCCACCTGCTGGCCTGGCACTGAGACTGTTCACAGAAGAAGAGACAAGGGTCCAAGAAGGGCATGGTGAAAATGGCTCTAGGCTGGCATGGGCCATGCCTTGTCTCAGACTTAGAAACACAGTATTTCTGATGACTCCCAGTGCATCTCCCCGGCAGCCCAAAGATGCCACACATCCAAAGGTCAATGAACTTCTTCATTACCTCCAAGTTTCCTCTAGCCTGGCAGCATCAGCCTCTGCCCATCACTCTCCTCTACAAACCTTCAATCAGGATCTTGAAAATCCCTTTACTCACCTCAGCAACAGTGTAGTAACCTCTGTGGTTCAGAATGGCACCTACCCAGGACTCACTGATGTAAGACCAAGTCGCTAAATTCACATTTATTCATACTAGCTATTTTAAGTCTACAAGTGGCATCTGATCAAATGTTCTAAGTTCACTACATAAAATAGGACAAATTTAAGTTGTGATATTTTTCTAAGGTGGGTCCCCTGTGTGTACTGCAATGACCTTGGGACTCTTGGGGACTGAGACACAGTTTAGAACCAACAAAAGTCATAGCACTCAATAAGCTCTGACCTCTGCCAATCCGAAGTCTCTGTGAGCCCTCACTCAGGCAGGGGACTCCACAGCATCCATAGGGGCCTAGCATGGGCCCTGAAGCTCCTGCCCAGTGCCGAGATCTATCAGGAGCTCACGTTAGTTTCCCAGGAGCAGAATTTTGTTTTCAGACAGATATAAATAATACTCACTATGAAGGCATTCAGGCAAGCTACTAAGAGAAGGTACCTAAAATTTAACAGTGACTGGTGAAACTATAAAAGGTTTAAAGCTAGAAAATATAGAGCTTGATTTTACAGAAAGCAATGGTGAAGATATCATCATCACAAACAATTTTAAACAGTGCTCAAGCTGAAAGTACTTCCCATGGCATGCCTGTAACCCCAGCATTCCCATGACTGAGGCAGGAGAATCTTGAGCCGTATGATGAATTTCAGGCCAGCCTAAAACAAAGAAACAACAACAAAAATCAACTAAAACAAATACACTAACTCAAATACTTTGAACTGCCTGTCCACTCCTACCAAGCAAAGCCCTCCCACTGTAGGGGTGTCTGGGTGTTAGCTACCCACCTCCTTGTTGCCTGGTAAAGACCTTTGCAAGGAAACACACAGATCATCCACTTGCCTAGCTCTCAACTTCTATCAGTTACACAAGCTTGAAGGAAAATCAAACTATTCCCTCCCTTCAGGACAGCCCCCAGCAAGCCCTGAGACCACCAGGCTCAAAGTCTGTGGCTCAAGGCAGTCACTGGTTGCATTCTCATGCTAATACACGCCAAGCAGTCCATGAACCTGAGTTGCACTGAGTCAGCCATGGCCTGTAAGTGGACATGACCCTCCACCATACCTGATCTTCCCCTCTACCTCAAGATGTTTACAAGATGCTACCCATGACTGGGAAGACAGAAGACAGCCAGATCACTGGAAGACAGAAAGGTGTATGAATAACTGGACTACTTCTAGAGGCTCAAAAGAAAGCCCAGCCTGCCACCTAAAGCCCAGAAGGTGCCTTTCCTGTAGGCTAACCATCACAGGACACTGAAGTTATGGTGAGCACCCCAACAGCCCCCACTCCAGCTCCAGCCATGGTGCTGGGGGATGCACTGCTACCATACAGACTGTGGAGACTACCTGAAGGGTTACACAAATACATTCCCTCAACGGTCTACAGAGGACAGTGACACCTATACCACTTAGAAAAGAAGCACTTTCCTAGATGGGAATATCTTTTGCAGACCCAGGACTCCCAGAGGAAGGCACACCGATGAGGATATCTGTGCCTTGTGGTCCTTGATCCTTGATTGAGTGCCTCCACTCCGAGGCAGGCCCCTTGCTACCTGCCCTGATGCTGCAAGAGGGAGACAAAGGTCACTGAAGATCTGGTTCCCTTCTCAGATACCACATTCAGGCCCTGGCTCACTGCCAATGCCCATGTAAGCTATCCAGGGGACCTTAACCTCCTATTTTCTTCCATCACTAAGGTGATCATCAGGGGCTCAAGTGTCCTACACCCAGCACCAGGCACAGTATGAAGAGAACTCTGCATGGCTCAAGGTTTACACAGAAGCTTCCCAAGGAAAATGCTGGCATTTCCTGCATCCAGTTTCCTGAGGCACTACCTCGGGCTTTCTAAGCACTTCCAACCCCTGGTTTATAAGGAAGACTATGTCTCTTGAGCCCTTTCAATAGAACCAGAACAAAGCACTGGGCCTGGACAGAAGACTCAGTGGTTAAGAGTCATCTTAACTTGGTATTCTTTCAGAGGTTCTGAGTTCCAATCCCAGTACCCATCGGGTGGCGGTGTAACTCCAGTTCCAGGGAATCCAATGCCCTCTTCTGGCCTCTGTGGGCACTGCATGCATGTGATACCTGAACATACATGCAGACAAAACACCCATACACGTGAAATAATCAAAAATCTATTTTTATTGTAATTTTAAAAAAACTGCCACTGACCAGAAAGAGGGATACAGGAGAAGGTGGCCACTTCACTTGACCAGTCATAAAAAGCCTCTGTAGCTGCAAGTAGTAAGGCAATGTGTACGACAGGTCTGCACACTGCATTAGTCTGGGAAGAAGGCATGGGACTGAAGAATCAGTCAGCCCTTGTTATGGAATGGCTCCATTACAAGATGAAAATAAGGAGCATCAAGAATCCTGCATTATGCTGCCGGCTGGATATGGGAGGGAGGGGCTTCCACTAAAAGCAGCATAGCCTGCTCTTAAGACTGCATGCATTAGAAACTGTAACCCCACAGTTTTCTCGGAACACCAATAGTGCCAATAGTGAGGTCTTTTGAGTCAACAAGCCACTGAGAAGCAGGGCTCTAATTAAAGTCCACTTTCTCCAAGAGATTTCCTGGGAGAATACAAGAAGAGCACACCAGCTGTGAGTGCAAACTAATCAAAGTGGAGCCTGTAACTCTTCCAGTGGAAGCTTTAACACCTTCTGTGAAGGTCTAAATGTTGGTGTTCCCCACCCAGTGTAGCAGCATTAAGAAGGCAGGCCACAGGGAAGAGATGAAGTGTGAGGACGACACCCAGAGTTGTACTGAGGGCCCTTCTATAGGGAGGAGCTCCTGGCACCATCACAAAAGAAGGCAGCAGAGTGGGAGCAGGCAAAGGCCAGGGAATCCCTCACCAGACAGAGTCCCAGAATCCTGTTCTTAGCCTTCCAGCCTCCAAAAATTCACCACAAATTTCTGTAGACTTTAAGTCCTATCTCCAAAGGGGTTTATTAAAACAGCAGGAAGGAATGGAGACATGGGGACTAACCAACCAAAATTCAAGGGGCAGTCTTCTAAAAACTTTTGTGAGTTTAGAATGTAAAGGTAGAGGGGCACAGGAGGGAGCTGGGGAAGACCTCAGTCAGGAAAGTCCTTTCTGTACAAGCATGAGGACTTGAGTTCAATCTCCAATACCCATGTAAAAACCTGGGCATAGTGGCATGCATTTGTAATCCCAGCACTGGGGAAATGGAGGCAGAAAGATCCTTGGGGTCCCTGGCCAGCCAGCTTACCCTAATCAGCAAGCCCCAGGTCCCAGTAGAGAACCTGTCTCTAAAAACAAGGTGTGTAGCTCCTGAGGATGACAGCTGAAGCTGACCTCTGGCCTCTACATGCAGACACAAGCACTGTACACACACACACACACACACACACACACACACACACACACACACACACACACACACACACGAACCCATACACACATGAGCACATAGCTGCCCATCCCAATCTCGGTCATTAGGGGCTGACATGCCTGGACAACAACCAATCCCACCACCTAAAGGGAATACAGAGTCAAAAAGGTCTTGTGAAAATGTCACTGAATACAGAAAACCAATAACCAATGTAATCCTGTTAATGACCACTAAATAAGAACACCAAGATACTTTAACCAATTTCATAGTTCTTTACAAATGCTATCTCTGATGCGATTTGTAAAAGAGATGTAAGTAGCCACAGATTTTATGTTTAAAACACACAAGCATTACCTCTAAGTAAGCCCCATGACTTCTTTTCTAAGTACACAGTAACAGCAGGAGTTAGGAATGGCTGAAGTGCTGAGCAGTGCTTTGTCAGCGATCCTGAGCTGCTCAGAGCCTTGATGAAAGCCAGTGTGGAGCCCATCTTCTCACTTCCTTTGTTTTAATTATTACAGTGCTCCTTGGTGTCCATTTCTTAAATAAGCAGAGAGGTACTGAAGAGAAGCACTAAGTTTCACCCAAATTTCCAAACTAACATGGTTCTCCAGGCATCCACTCAGTTCCTTCTTCAAGTCAGCTTTCCATGACCAGCAAAGAGAGTTCAGAGAAGGTTTGAAACACACCTAATATGCAATAAACACAGTGCAAAACCCAGAAGTCCCAGGATGGTTGAGCTAGGATAGCTGAGACCCATGGCAGTAAGGTCAGAGTCTCTATCTAGACATGGCGAGATCATGGCCACACAAACTACAACAGCACACCCAACTCTCTCTTCCCTCCAGCTGAGGCTTGCCTCTAGCAGGCCAGATAACCCAGGCAGCAGGCAGCAGACTGAACCAGTACAGCTCTTCTGGGGGAACAACTCCAATGTACACAGCTCGTCTGGAAGTTTCTATGATCTGCCTAGCCCTTCTCATGGCAATAATCACTCCATCCTCAAAGTGCCTGTCTGGCCTGGAAGTCCCACACATGTAGAGAGGATGACTAGATGTATCTGGGCCCAAAGCACCCAGAGTTCTGCTGCCCACAGAAAAGCATATGTTGGTCACGGATTCCAGTTCCTGGCTGTCCAACCTCAACCTAGGCAGTTATTCGATGGCAGGCAATACTGGCTTCCTTACCCACACAATGGCACGATGGCTTTCCAGCTCACTTCACAAGGTTATCACGCCACATAAATGTAATAACTAGGAAGCACAATTCAGAACGAACTTGCTATTCATTCTGGTCCCTTAAAAGCACAGCGGTGTTTGACTTGGAGTAAGCAAGTAATCAATGCTGATTTATGATCACTATAAGTTTTAAACACCCACGGTTAAACAGAGCCAGTTCTTCAGTTGGAGCAGTTCTCGGCCTCGCGTAAACCAGCTCTGGAGGCGGCATGCATCTGCACACCTGTCCATGTACAACCTGCCCCCACTGCCGGGCGGTGCAATTATGGCCTTTCTGTTCCAGCACCAAGCTGTGCTCAATGGTTCCTAATGATTCGAGTATTGAGTTTTCTGTGTCAAATACATACCAGGAGTTCATTCTTAAATTTCAATATCATTAATCATCCAACATTCAGCATCTCAGAACTCAGAAATTTGCATTTCTACAATGGGGGCTTTGAAAGAAGGACACAAATGCAAATGCTCCCCAAACTGTGTAAGAATTTTCAGAAAATTGCCAAAACAAACCATCAGCACACCATTGACAGTGAATATTCTGAGCTCTTCCTAGTGACAGAGTATTCGTGATTTTTAAAAGACAAAACACAATTTGAGGATTGAAAAAAAAAAATAGGTTGAAAAATAAGTCCTTATGTCTACATGATTTCCAGAACAAATCTTGACTGATTAAGATCCCAGATAATCACAGCATGGAGAAGCCAGGGTGGTGACAACTTGAGAGCTGCACATGCTACTGGGGTGGCGGCTGGGAAGATGCCAGCAAGATGCGTGTGCTAGGAGCTGGGCAGGAGGCAACAGGATGTACAGGAAGCATTCTGGAAGCCTTTGCTTCAGAAAACAGGCTGAAGCAAACCCAGGATTAACACACTCCCACCCAACTCTGGTCCATTGCCTGAAGCATCTCACATCCTTCTCCAGAGAATCAGATGCATGCACAGAAGAAATGGTCACTTCTCCATGACCCAGGCCAGCTCAGTCTTGCTCCCCACTGTCCAAACCCTCAGAGTAGCTACCTCCAGGTGCCCCCCCCCCCAGATCTGTATGAAGCTGCTCTCTCCGGCTGACCATGCTGCCGAAGGCTATCTCCTTGCCTATACTCCTAAGCCTCCTGCTGGCTAGCTACCCTTAACTGTCTACACACCTGTCCTGCAGACCTACTGATATCTACCATGGTCTATGGTGGTCTCTTACACCAGGCCTCACTCAGTCTGCAACTCACCTGCTACCAGCTGCCCAGAACTCACATCTGGATGCACCAGTCCACAAATTCATTCTCTCGCCTACTGTGCAGTATCCCTGAAACATACATATTGCAGAGCAACATGTAAACGCTACAAAAAAAAAAAAAGCTCCTTTATGATACAAGCTCATTACCATTTAATTTCTTCATTACTATATAATAACCCTGGCAGACAAACTGGTTGAAATAAATAAGACTCAAGACCACACAAGTGAAGGCATGCATCTTCACATGTCTTCAAACAACAACAAACAAAAAAGTAAGGACTACAGCACAGAGATGGAAAGAACCTGAGGATCTCAGCTCAGCTCAGGCCAAGGGCAGAGGGCCTCTTCCTGGAGACCTGGAGAACAACCATAGTCATTACGTTGTGTTGACACATCCTTCAGATCCTTCCATGTGATGGTTCAGACTAACAGAGAATATTATTAAACTATAAAATGGACCAAATTAAAGTACTGGTCATGGATTGCACATGCTTCCCTCAAAGTGCTTAGGGAGAGATAGGAAAACAGGAAGAAGGATCCAGGCTCTGCCTGACTGGCTTCCTATCTGAAGCCATCAACTAAGTCATCACAGATGTCTCCTAGCGGATACCTACTTTCTCTAAGCAGAGACCATCAGCAAGGAAGTTCAACTACACTGGAGACACAGGGTAGTATCAAAAATGAGTGAGTGACCAGGTGACAATGCCTGGGTTTACTGGTAGCCAGCCAGTTACCAATACCTAGGTGCACTTTAACATCAAGAAAGACAAGGACAATTATTGGAAGGGAAATGAACAAGAAATGAATGACTGCTTGTTCTTCCAGCAGACCTCGCGAAATCAGTCCTCACACTGCTATGAACAGGGGACCTGCCTCCCAGTCAGAGGTCTAGAAGCTGAGTTCACCATAGCCTGCCTGGGCATATCCTAACACTGAGGGCTTCAGTGCAGGATGAAAGCAGCAGCACCATTCAGAGCCTCCTTCCACAGAGTCTTCACAAACTGAACCAACCCAAGCCCTTTCCTCAGGCTGCTCACAGCACTGGAAACAGTTATTTAGAGCAATAAATCCCAACAGCTAGGCAGCTTTTACGTCAGAAAGCCAGGGCCTGGCTCTAGCAAAGTCCAGAAAGAACGGCAATAAAATCCTAACACAGGCCTCACCCAGCACCACAGGGAGTTTAAAGGAAAACAGAGGAGAGAGGAGTTATACACAGCAAATAAAAAGGCCACTTCATCACCAGGCCAAAGCCAAGCTGCCCTGCCAATGTGAGAGACAGCCCAAAGGCCACAGGACTCCACCAGGACCTAATGTGCCACCAGCATTGCACCAGGCCACACAGGAGCAGGCAGGAGTGAGCCAGGTAGGCCAGGGCATGGGACCAGAGAGAAGATACCAAAGTCACAGGCAACCTCAAGACAGTGACAAGGACCAGCATGACTATCCTGGTTCCCTAGTTTTGTACCAGCACAGTCAGAAGTTTCCTATTCCAGACAGCAAACTAAAGCTGGGGAGCTCTGTGGAAGAGGCTGTAATTACTCTGTGCAAGGCTTCAGGCTCAATTCCCAATATTAAAACTCCCCAATATTAAACAAAAAAATAAATGAATTAGGTAATTAACTATTAATTCTCTTTCTTCCCAAAATCCACTAAATTCAAAATAAATATAAATAAATTATGGAAAGATTCAGGGTAATGCCTAACAATGAGAAAAGCCCAGAAGGACTTATTCACCTGAAACTACAGGGCTGAGAGGCAAGTATGTGTCACCAGTGAGGACCTATGGCTTAGGCACAGAGCCAGCTCCCTTCTTGGCCATTCAGGGCTGTGATGTGCCATGTGGAAGACACCTGTTATATGACTGCAGAAAACAATCTGCAGACCAGAGGGCTGGAGAGGCAGGAGTCTCAGCCAGCTCCAAGCCCTGAACAAATAGCCCAGCCACAGATATGCAAGCATTCTGAGAAAAAGAATGGTCTCAGCACAAGGCAGCTCTATCTGACCCAGAGGCACACACACCTTGACCCAAGAAGAGCCACTTAGAAGTCCTAGGATAGAGAAACAAGCAAGCAGAGAGGCTGGAGGCGCAGGTCGGTGGTTGAATACTTGCCTGGTGTGCAAGAGACCCCAAATCTGATCCTCAACAGAGGGGGGAGTGGAGGAGAAGGAAAGGAGGAAGGGAGAGAGGGAGGGAGGAAAAGTAAGTGAACAACAGTGGGTAAAATTCCCCACACAAAGGGCAAAGACTCTCTGAGGGAGAAAGCCAGAACCCAGGTGACCCCGTTTATGAGGATAAGGACTGAAGAAGGTGGCTGGGAAAAATCAGAGGTAAGTAGATGGGCAAGATCCATTAACCAAAAGCAGGAGAGCATTTTACAGAACAAAATAAACGCTCAACTCTGGTAAGAGAGCTCATTAATCAAAAGAATAGCCATTAATTTTTAATTAAGCACTGGGGGAAAACACTGAAATATATAGAGAAAAATGATTAATAATGTTAAAAGACTATATCAAAATTACAACCACAATAGAACATTTTACTTTTCTCAGAAACCAAGAAGACAGAATAGAGGCCATCCTGGCTTAAAAACTCAACTGGGTTAATAGATATAGGTAACATTTAGGAAAAAGTACAAATATTCTTGTACTTATGTACAAGAATAGGTCATGCATATGTATGAGAGAATTTGAAACACAGTACTAAGACATACTCACAAACTTCTTTAAACCAACAACATAATAAGAAGAGCACACTTTTCTTCAAATGCCTGGGTAGTGTGTGCAAGATCTGACTGTATCTGTATCAGGTCACATAGTATGTACCCCTTTTAAATAGCAAAGCAAATGTAGTCATTTTCTCCAGCACGCTAGGAGAAATAAAACAGCCTGAATCTGCCCAGTGCCAGAGTGGTGAAAAGTAGGAAACCATGCCTCCTTACACACTGCAATTAGGAAGTTGAGTTAGACAACATTCTGAAGCAATTTCAGTCATCCTAAAGACATTTTAAACCTGCATGTCTGCTGACCCAGCTTCAGCTTTTCAGAAGTTATCCAGGAGACACTTAAAGTACTGTACAGAATATATTCCTAGTAATTATGTGATGTTAACTTGGAGCTATTGTGAACACTGTCATAACCACATAAAGACACAGTCACAAACTGTCATAGAATGTTAGGTTTGTGTGAACACTGACATCAAGGATATTCATAGTACACTAACATGGAAAAACATCTAACACACTAACTCACATCCACCTCACATACAGATGTAGACACACGTATCACTACATGTTCATACACAGAAAAGATACACATCTCCATCTCACTGCAGAGCAAAAAGCATACTTACATACCACTATCTACTGTAGACATTTCAGTCTGTACAGCTTAACTTTTTTCTACAATCACCATAAACCATTTTTTAGATCAATACATGAACAACTTAATCAATAAAACCCTCCTACCTAAATAAAACCTAGAACTTTGCCCTCTGACACTCTTAATCAAAGCCATGATGCCCCAGAGAAGTATGTGTGACCATTCTGCTCCCAGCAGTCCTGGAGCAAAGGGCTTAGACCCTAAGCCTCTACCTCTACCCAATGGAGCAGACTCTAGGGCAGGCTGACAGAGCCTCAAGCATCCATCCTAGCATTTGTCCAGCCTCCTGTGTGTGCCCAGTACAGATACTGGCATCTAAAGCTCTAGAGGTTACACAATACATTAGAAGTAGCCAAAGGCAGCTGAAAGTTTGCAGGTCAGGCAGAGCTCTCTACATTTATCATGGTTCCGGCTTTGCTACCGAGTCCAAGTCCCATACGTATGTGTTAAGGCCTAAGCACGCAGTTTCTAACCCTATTCTGCCCTTCCAGCTCCTTGACCTTAGACTTTGTTCCAACATTTCCAAATGCATCTAGGGCTGTGGAGAATCAGAAAGGCTTGTGAAATGTTTAATACAGCACCAAAGAAAGCAAACTAAGATACTGTACTGGCTGCTGGAACCAAGGCTTCACCCCACCCAGAGTCATCACAGCAGCACTGCCCCTCACTTGCCCAGACAAGAATCTCACTCTGCAAGTTACCTGCTGGTATTTATCCATCACCTACTTAAACACAATTGTTTTTCCTGGCATCAAGGAAACTGCCTGCTACTGGAGCGGGCATGCAAAGCCAGGGCATCCTCTGAATCTCCAGGAGGTCTACACCAGCCCCCTGAACCAAAAGACAAGAAACCCTAGTTACTGAGCACTTGATGATGCTGCAAACCAACAGCAAGTGCCAGAGGAAAGCAGAGCAGGCTGCAGTGGCAGCAGCTACACATCTGTAAAGAGGAACACTAGAAACCAAAGATGCAGGCCTTACCTGGATGGCTTTGGGAGCTCATTGCTAGCAGTGTCAGCGCCTTAAGTTCAAAATGGCTCAAAATGTCCAGGTAAACAGTAGCTCCAACCAGCTCCAAACTTCCACCAGCACATGCAAGTACAAAACCGAGGTGGCTCGGGTCCCAGCTGCGTAAACTTGAAGTCTCACTGGCAGGATCTTGTAAACCAAGTAATCCACAAGAAGAGCAGTTGTCACCTGGCCTTGCAGAGATGAACCTGCATGGTCAGAGAGAAAGGAGTCCTCAGTTGGGATATGAACACTGAATCTGGACAATACCACCTAACTAAGGAAATAGGTTTTCACTCTGTTCTTTGTATATGAACTCAGGAATCGGACAAAGCAATTCACGCCAAACCATTTCTATCAGTGAGGTTTGTCAAAAATCACATGTGAGCAAACACCATCGGTGAGCAAGGTTCCTCATCGCCGCTGCACTGCTGACGCCCAATAGCTATGCAGTGGCTGGGCTGTTACACTCATGACAAAAACCCAGCTGTATCCCTGACCTCCGCCCACCACAAGCCAGTAGCATTAGCCAATTATGACAGCCAAAAATGTCTGGGGGGGGGGGGGCAAAATCAACCTCGGCAAAAAATCTCATCTAGAGATATCAACCACCCTTACAGAAACATCCCCACCGTCAGTCTTTTGGAAGGAAGTAGTATAGAACCTTGCTGCTGATACAGATATATTCCAAGCTACACCATTTTGTGATGTACACAGGGAAAATGCCACTGTCTCACCTTGCCTTTCTACTGATAAGCGGCCATCCAGATTTTCTGCACATAGTTGCTACCATAAAATTTAGTTCGAATTCCGTAAGTTCTCTCTCATGTGCCCATCTTTATAACTACATTTTCCCAGGTTTAGAAGGAATGCATGGCCATGCAGAAAAGCACCTGAAAAGCACTCCCAAGAGGCAGGGGTAGGTAACATCCAAACTCAGACCCTTTGTGCTATACTTCTCTTTCTCAGTCTTTTGCCCATAGGACCCACTGCCCAGAACGCATCCTACTCCCCAGATGCCCTTTCCCAGGTCACTCTACACCACTTGATAAACACTTGGGAGGGTTTGGGAAGACTGCAAGTTTTAGGGCACTGTCAAAAGCCCTGGATTTAACAGATTCTTCCCCAACCAGACTTTTCACAACTCAGTCACTTCAGAGACAAGCCAATGAATGTCAACCCAAGACTACCTGACTGACTCTGGCTCCAGTACCTACTGAGACATCTGTCTGTATCTATCTCTCTCTTTTAGAATGTGATGAATCTTTTTTTTTTTTTAAAGAGTTGTCTCACTATTTAGACCAGGCTGGCTGGTCCTGCCTCTGCCTCTGCCTCTTGAGTGCTAGAATTAAAGGCATCCACTACCATGTCCAGCCTATGTATCCTTTTATTAAGCAAGTCAAGGATTTTCCCCAGCTGCTTGCAACTAATCAGTTCATCATGTCAAGGACAGTCTTCAAATGTGGGCTATTCAAGGTGGTTTCCGGCTTTGCACTATTACCTACACCTATGTAACCCTTATCTTTATGACAACTGATATGCACCCAATAGCACCATGACTTTTATCCATAGGTTCAGAACTTTTACTCCTCTCAGTCAGGACACCACTTCTTTAAAGGGAGGCAGGTGGCACAATCCTGCAAACCCCATTATTCTGGCAACTTTGAAGCCATCTTACACAAAGTCACACACACATCCTGGCTAGGTATAAAAGTCTCAGGCCACACCATCTATCCTGTAATGCTGTTCCCTTGGCACCATGGAATAGCCTAAGGCCAGCTATCCCAGAGTTCTGTCTACATAACCTTTAGGGCTGGGTATTGCTAATGTCATTTTCTTCTGCCTAAATGCTACCATGTCTTTTTCTTTAGTCTGGAAACCGAAAAATACTGTCAGACGGTGTACCGATAAGTGTCTCTTGATTCGTTTTGCTCACAGCAAGACCCTTTGAATACATTTCCATCTTCCTGCTCTGGAAAATGCTCAGTCACCCTTGATTATTTTTATTCAACTCACTCTGGCTTCTTGAGAGATTGTATACTGCTGCTGGACTCTCTCCACAGATCCACCCCTCCTGCCTCAGACGCATCTGCTGTTTATTCTGCACTCCCAGGCGGGGTGGCCTCTCTGGTACATTCTGCACGTGACTGCTGACATCTTCCACAGTATCGGCTTTCTTCATTGTGGTCAGGATGCCATTTAAGTAAACTTTAAACAATGCTCTCCACTACTTCCCTTGCAAACCTTCATTTGGCCTAATTCTCTTTCTGACCACCCCACCCCTTACCCCATGCACCCTCATTTCTTGAGACATGTCTAGCCAATCTTCCAAAAAACTTTCTTCCAAGACAGGAATCATGTTCTGAGGTGTGCTCTTAAATAGTCTGGACACCTTGTTGACAGGCCCCAGATGGGGACTGTGGTTTTTCCTCAAAGAATAGCATCTCAAGACCAGAGCACCACCCAAGCCTACCTTGCCAGGGTTACAGCTCCCACCCAAGGCTTCCAGCAAGCTCTCTAAGCTCCACTGATGGAGAGAAGCCCCTTGTAAGAGAACCCAAGAGTTTTTGTTGTGACACAATATGTTTGTTCTGGGAGAACTCAAACTTGGCAAAAGTGAACACTAGAAATAACAGGGCTTAAAAGAAGAATGAGGTTCATAACTAATACACTACAAAAATGTATAATGAAAACATTACCACAGTTCAAAAAAGACAGTAAATAGTCCTAACAAAAAAGTCTAATAAATGCAGAAATTTAAGATTTAAAAACAGTAACAACAATTTAAACAGGAGGATAAAGAGACAATGCTTTTGAGTTTGGGAATCAAGGACAACTGAGCCCACTCTCACCTGTATCTGCGACCTTCTCAAATTGTCCAGACACTCCACTAAGGGACAGAGCTTGTCAGACATATTAATAAAAAACAGTAATTTTTTTGTACCAAGTAGAAAGAACCACCATGAGGTAGGACTGGAAATGGCCTAGAGACAGAAGGTCACTCATTTTATATAACATCAGTGTTCCCTAAGCAACAGAGGCCCAGCAATGTGCAACCTACACGAACACATTTTCAATACAGACACATGCCACATGACATTCAAGTCAACAACAGACTGCATATAGCAAACACAGGGTGGTCACATTAGAAAGGATCATCATGTGACAATGTGGTCACCTTAGCCTGTGTAATATTCACACAATGGCAATGATGACAAAGCTACACAATACATTCCTTCATAGAGCTGAACTTGGCTATGAAGTCACAAATAAACTAAAGATAGGAAAAGATCTATCACACAAACCGTGCAGGTTAAGCACCACTGCCCAACTGACTCTACTTAGAAAACCCCCAAGAGATGAAAACCCCTCTGTGTGTCTGTGAGGGCCTTTCTAGAAGCACTAAGAGCCACCGTGATATAGGAAGCACCATCCCACAGACTGAGGGACCCAGAAAATGAAAGAGGGAACTGGAAGAGCTAGTCTAACACCAGCAGCCAATCTTTCTGCTTCCTAGCCCACCATGACCTGACCTGTTCTGCTCGGCCACACCCTCCCTACCCTCTTGAAATCATAAACCAACATAAATCTCCCCTCCCTTGTAGCTGTCAAGTATTTGGTCACAACAATGACAAAAGTAACTAACAAACATTAACCAAGAGCAATCTGTGAAGGAGACATTAGCATCAGACAAAATAAACTTTAGGCTCAAGTTATCACATAGGATGCAGAGGCCCAGTTCCTAATGGCAGAAGGATCAGTAAGCTGAGGAGTAAATGAAAACCACACTTTACACTAGAAACAAAACTAAGAAAAGCATGAAGGAAATGGGCACATCGACCATTACAGCTAGGATCTCAATGCTTATTCTTAGGAACTGTCACAAAAGCAGGCAGAAAACTAGCAGAATACTAGAAAACACACACACACTCACCACACACACACTCACTCACTCACACACACACACATACACACTCACACACACACACACACACACACACACACACACACACACACACACACAGCCCTCAAGGTGACTCAGTGACATTTACACAACACTCACTATACAAAAGCAGTGGAAGCACCTTCTTAACACACAGAGCAAGCACTGAAACAGAACACCTTTAGGCCCATTAAAACAAGTACCATTAAGTTTAAAAGGACTCAAGTCACATAAAATAAACTTATCTTACTAAACTGGAATTAATTTAAAAATCAGTAACAACAGAAAAGTATCTTTAACCCAAAGTATTTGCAAACTAAATAATACATTTCAGTTCGCCACACACCTGTGATCCCAGCATTTGGAAAGTAGAGGCAAGAGAATCAGCAGTTCAAGGCCATCCTCAACTACACAGAGTCTGAGACCAGCCTGGGCTACACGGAACCCTGTCTCAAAATAAACAACAACAACAAAAAAGGAAAATAAATGAACAACAACAAAACACTTCACAAATGAAGAATTGGAAGGCACTTTGCAATGAATGAAAACAGCAACACAAGATATCAAAATATGAAATGTCCAGCACTGAATCCCCATGTTAGAAAAGACACTCTTGATTCAGTGATGGCAGTCTTTACTTCAAGAAATTAGACAAGAGCAAACCAAACTCCAAAGAAACAACAAAGAGACAACAGCAAAGAGTAGAAATCAATTGCATGAAAAAAAAATGGAAAGAAAGAAGAAGGCCAAGCAAAGTGGGGGACACCTGTAACCCAGTCATTCAGGAGGCTGAGGAAGGAAGACAGCAAACTCAAGACTGTACTATACAGTGAGCAGTGTACAGTACAGGAACAAAGAGAGAAAGAAAGGGGTAAATCAATGTGATTGCAAAGCTTTAGGCAGTCGATGATGAAATGCTATCAAGAAGAGGGGATGAACTACAGACTAAACAGTAAAAGGACAAAAGATAGCATCATAGACAACTTTATGCCAAGGACTTACATAAAATCAACAAGAGCCTTGAAAGACCTAAATGTCAATTATTTGGAAGGACAGACACATAACAGGGGGTATCTTCTGGATCTCAGATACATCAAGAGGGCCCATCTGCAACTGTTGCCATGGGGGGGGGGGGTGTTTGCCTGATGGTGGCACTTGGCTTCCTTCTCTTATACATGTTAGTTCAAATTCAACGCTGAGGGGTCCTTATCTTTGCATTTGGTCACTTGCATTAATGAAGACAGATGAAAATTTCTTCTTTGCAGTATGCTAATAATCCAATGTTATCAACTTTCTCTGGCTTATTCACTTGACTCTGTCTACTGGAGCTCCATTAAATCAGCTGCTCATGCTTTCCTGATGTTTTCCATCTTTTCTGTTAAGCATTTGTTTACATCAACTCAGTACTGACGCCTTAGGTCCCAAGCTAACTAACCACTGCAAGATTTCTGCTAGTCACCCTTTCCTCACTTTTAACACCTTTCTCTAACAGTGAGAAACCTGGCTTCTACAATATACAATATATTGGTTATGTTCTTATACACTCATAAGTAGTTTCAAAAGCCCTACACATGACAAACAAGCTCATGAGGAGACAGCACTGGGCACTCAACACTGCTTCTGTCCTCGGTCTTCCAAGGCTCACCCAACCTTACCCAGGCACTCTTCCAGAGCTGCCCATGCATCACTTCAGGACGTGGGCTGTGCTTCTGCAGAAAGAGGCTTTGATGCCAGGGTGTATGTTCCATTTGGGGTTTCTCCATTCTGATGGGTCTAAACTGTTTATCATCTCCATATGTGATGACTAAGAAATAAAAACATGGGCTGATCTTAGTGGTGTTCACCTTTAATCCCAGCACATAGGAGGCAGAGGGAGATAGATCTCTGCGAGTTAGAGGCCAGTCTGGTCCGCATAGCCAGTTCCAGGCCAGCCTGAGCTACATAGTGAGACCCTGTAAACAAACAAGCAAGCAAATAAATAAATAAAATACAAGTTTAGTAGAAAAAATATCTATAAAGGTAATTTTAAATTTAAGTTTCTTGTGGTTTCTGCATAGGTCTCTCTTGCTGAAGGGAAGGTTTCACGTTATGGAACCTGATGCAAACACAACGCAAAGCAAATAGTACAACAAACCCAAGACACCAACTTCAATCATTATGAACACTCTGCCATTCTTGCTTCATCCACATCTCCTTCTCCACACACTGAATGCACAAAAACTAACTGTAAATTTTTGCAGGTAGGTGCAGCTACAATCTATTATGAGTTTGTTGGCTTGGGTTTTTATTGTTGTTTGTTAATGCACTGCCAAAAGCATGATGAAAATCAGCTTCAGTGCCATCTACTCAGAGCTCTGCTACCAGAAAAAAGGTTTTCAGAAGATGTCACCTTCCATGTGAGAGAGGCAGAGCCTATGGGGTCCTGGTCAGAGAAGAATTTAGTAGGGTCTGGAACAGGCTGCTATGATAGCACAAGATGGCTGAGTGCTATCTCTAGAGCTGGAAATCCTGCCTTCCATTAAATCACACACCAGCCTCTGGAGTTCCTTCTTGGCCAAAAGACAGTCCCTAGTGCTACCGCAGACTATTTCAGAGCCAGGCTGGGCCAGGGCCCATGATCCTAAGAGAAAGACAAAAAAAAAAAAAAAAAAAAAAAAAAAAAAAAAAAAAAAAATCTGGATACAGAAGTAGAAGACTAAAGATGACTAGAAATGAGCAGACCGATGAACCAAGCCATTCATCACAGGTATGGGAAAACAGACCAAGGTAGGTCAGAAGACAGTTAGCATATAGGCCCGCTGGCCCAGGGTGCTCCAGGCACCACACAAATGAAAAGATCTGTCTGTAAGAGCCAGAGAGAAGGTAAGTAACTTTGATTTATGGGTACCTTGGCCATCCTGTTAACTGCAGTCTGAGACTGGGTACAAACTTCTACAAAGACATCTCTTGCTGCATTTCTCCTCGGGCTCTATACAGAATAAGTAGCATGATGGCTTCGTGTGCTAGTTTACCTGGGTTCCTCACACCTGCAACTTGGAAATTCTGAAATCCTAGTTGGCTTGACTTCATATGATGTAAAAGCCCTTCCAATGAGCAAGTCTTAGAAGCTATAAATCTTTAAGAGGATTTCTTTTAAAAATCTTTATGACGCTCCAAAAAGAGGTGTGAGCAGAGAGGGCATGTTCTGTCCCTTACCACACTCTGTGGCTGGTGGAGTAGCAGCAGTCAGTTAGTGACACCATCAAGCAAGAAATGACAAGACTGCAGAGTAACAAACGCAGATCATCTACACAACACAGCAGGTGTCACACTCACCTCT